CTGAGGCTGTAGGCTTATTGACTGCTTACCTTCTGCCAGTGAAAATGGGTAATGATTTGCAGTTGTCCAAGGCACCTGTTTCCTGAAAGGCTTCCACAATGGTGAAACCCATCTATACTTCACTGAAAACCTTATAGGGTTACTCTGTTCTTCTTGATCATTGATTTTCAGAGAATACTTGAGGTAATGCATGAAGAAGTCTCGGTGTCAGATTTGGTTTAAAAGCATTGAAGAGAGCAAAAGTTAGAATGATTACATTATATGGTATCACTGCTTCTGATGCAATACAAAATTAGGATAAAAATACAGCTTACTGTTGATAATCTTATGTAAGCATGCATCATTCTCGCTTAAAAAAGTAGAGGAATTGATTATTTCCATGCCAATGTTTACATGGGTTATCAAGTTCATTACTCCAAATTTGAATTCCCAAAGCAGAGTAATTATGTCTAACCTGGAGCAATGTCTTTTAGTATCAAGCTTACAGAAACTTGGGGTGTTTGAGTTGCTGCTACGTATGCTGATGAGAAAGGTCTCTTGAGCATTTATGTAGTTTGGGTGTCAGTCCTGTCAATCCTGATGGTCATGTCAGCATTCATTTTTCTCAAGAACTGCCCCATGTGTCCCAGTGTGCTTGGAAAAAATGAAACTAGCCAAAACCCTCTTCAGAAAGGAAAGTGGTGGTACTTCTCTGAACAGGTATCCTGCTTGCCAAAACGTGTGTGTTGAGAGATGGTTCATGCCTGGTTGGGAAGGAAGGTAAGGAAGAGCTGTCTTAACTTATTGAAGGAGCTTGACAGGAACCAGGGAATAAATAGCCAGAATATTATTGCAGCTGTAAAACAACAGGAAAAAAAATAATAAAAGCTTTCAGAATGGGTCATGAAGCTGAGGCAGAAGCTTAAGACTACAACTTCAGCCAGCTGAAACACTGCCCAGTGGCAGTCATGAGTGGCCTTTTCTGTCAAATGCAGCTCTGTAAGAGTTGTACTTAGCATGCAAGTTCTGGGAGTGATTATATATTCTATTGATTTTAAGGCATAATGGCAGTCCCCTAAGTACAAGTTTCTCTTACTGATCCAGGCTGTGGTTTCAATCCCTATGTAATCAAAATTAATGGTAATGTGTTATAATGCTGTGATTGGATAGCATTTACAAACCTGAAGAGTTTTTTCATGTTCTGTTTCACTCGTATCCATGGTCTTTGTGTTCTTAGGTGGGACAATTCTTTTATATCTTTGTCTGATAGTAGTTTCCAAAGTGTTTAATCCCTCTTTATTCCTGGCCTGACTCCATGGTTAGCTGCTGTTGCCAACAGATCAAACTTTGAAAGTACAACCTTTTCCCATATCCTTAAAGCATGGACATCCTGCTCAGAGCAAAAGTAATATATTTCTCCAGTGTCTGCATTCATGTAAATCCTTTTGTGCACTTTTCCGAAGGAAAAAAGTTCTTTTGGAGAAGATTGCAATAAGTAAAGTTGTAGCCTTCTGTAACATTTTCTTGCAAGGATGTAAAAGCCAAATGTGGTGGAACTGGGATCCCGCATTTTGAATAAATGACAGTTTAATAGTTATTGTTTGCCTTCCTTTGTAATTAATTATTGTTGTCATTTTTTGTTTAAACAGATCTCCCGCAGGAGTAATTTGGTTGTTTTCATTGCACTTTCTTTGGGGCCTGGGACTAAAAGAGGGGTGTTTGTTTTTGTACTGAGCATCTACTGATGTTTCACTTAGTAGTGTCCCTTGAATATATTTGCTTACATAAAAAGCTCCAGCAGAACCTAAATATTTATAGTTTGAAAATGGTTGTAGTTCTTTGGGGGCATCTGGCTGTAAACTGCATCTCAGTAGTCTCATTAATTGTGCAGGTTATATAACTAACAACTGTATCCCCCTTGTTAGAGTTGTTTTGCAGAATGGAACAAAACCATCTTCCCTACCTGTGTGCTGGACTGTACATTTCTCTCCTGTTGTGAGAGGAGCCTGCTGGCCTTACTGTGCTCATAGTCACTGTTAATTCAGCAAGTGAGAAATTGACTGAGGAAAGATACAGCTGATGCTCTATACTATCCCTTAAGGAGCCCTTCACTGATGCTTTGTGAGCAACAGTATTGAAAACAGTTTGGATTTATGTGCCCTCTGTCAGATCCTCTGCCCTTTAATGGTATGTGGTGCACATGTGTTTCAATTAAACTTGTGGTCAGAAAATGGAGCCAGGAGCATATGCTAGCAAAATGTGGTTATTTTAACATGCAACAAAAGTTTACAGAAATACCGTCTTGAGCTGACAATTTTTATTGCTGAAAGCAGTCATCCCATTTTATGGGGTACATGATATTCTGATTTTTATGCTTGCACAGTGTGTACAAAGCATGACCACTCAGGATTGAGGAAAAATACCTAGGTTATATTTGGGAAGAAATGCACAGTTGGTATACTGCTTCAAGATGTAAAATGCTACAGCCCCTTGATGTTGAGCATAGCCATGCTGGTAAATAGAACAGGCCTCGGTACGTCTCCTTTGCTGTCTCATGTATGCCTTAGAACTCATTGTATTTCCTACTGAGTCATTGTATTTTCTACTAGAGGTGAATGACTGATTGTTCAGTGTTTGTTGATTTGTTTTGTTCAGGGATTTTTCTATCACCACACTGATAGTCAAATAGGCATTCAGAAATGATCGCTTGTTTTACCATCTGTGGTCAGATACATCAGCTTACTGTTGAACGTGGAGTATGATGATTAGCTCAGCTGTATTGCAGTCTGCTATCCACTGTATAACCTACTCTTGGAGGGTGGGAAGAGGAGGGTACATATTAATATAGATTCCTGAAACATTAAGCATTAGTGTTACAACTAAGATGATATCTGTGGTGTTTTTGTTCTTGCATTGGTGTCTGTGAATATATATGTATGTATATTTTAAATGTATACATAAATGGAAGACATTGCTCTGACAGCATAAGACCGGTCCTATCTTCAGTGAGGTTCTTGAAGATTAAAAAGCATGAAATTCTAAGTAGAAAAGCTGGGTAAAGGAATAGATGAGTCAGTAGCAAGTCAAGATATTTGTGTAGTGTTGCCCAACCCTTTTCCCAACCAGTTTTATCAGCTGGTTTATGAAGCAAAAAAAGATTGATGTCCTTGTCTGCATCTGATCCCCTTTTCCCCTTTTGAACTATTTAGTAGATTAGAACCAAGAATATCAGAGAATAGAGGACTGAAATTTAATGGGTGACCTGAGCAGTTTCTCTGTGGTGGGAAAAGTCTGTTCTGTAGGCTTGACTTGTGTGTTTTTCCAGTGTAATAGCAGAGCATCACTGCCTGCATCAGCCCCTTGCTCAGCCTGTATTGAGGTGCTGTGGCAAGAAACTTGCCATGAGCTGTGGGGACACAGGGGCAGCAGGAGGCTTGCAAATGAAGAAGTTTGGGCAGATAAAGAGATGGGGGGTGAAGGCAGAGTAGCATTAAAAAAAAAAAAGAAGAAGCGTTTGTAGGAAAACTGACATAATTAGTTCCAGAGATCTCCAGATATCTATAATTGCTGTAAGAATCTAATGTGGACTGTTGAGGATCAGTAAGAACCACACCTGAAAGCTGCAGTACCTGCTAGAGGGACTTCTTTCAGTTTTTTGGAGTTTTTGTATAGGTAGGGATAGTCTGCTGAGAAAAATTAACGCTGCAGGAGGAGGCTATATACCTTTTTTTCACCCAGAATATAAGCCCTTTGCTTCTGTGACACTACTGTGCTTAGTAATGATACACCAAACATCATGGTAGTGAGACTTCAGAGTGCTTTAATCCGATTCACATTTATTTACCTTTGCAGAGATGTGAAGAACTTGCTTAAAAATTAGTGTACTCTCCATTCTGCATTTCCTTTAGTCTCAGGCCTACAATTTTATTACAAGACTGGGATGTGTTTATAGAGCTCCATTTATGAAAAGTATTTCAGTCTGCTCTTGCTTAACAAATCAGTGTTGGAAGTCTTAACTTTCCCTGTTTATTACAGCAGCTACAGCCAACACTTGTGCACAGTTAGCACTTTTTAATGGAGATGTTTGCATATGAGGTTTGGGTTTTATGGAGGTTGAGGGCATGCATATGGAATGATATGCTGATGTGTAACTTGACCTCTGAAGTAGAACTGATGCTAATCTTTAGGAGTTGATAATTTATTAGTAAAAAATCTTTAACCTCATGTGATGTTCTACCAACTTGGTTAGATAACTGCAATGTTCTGGTCCTTCACTTAAAGCTTTTATTTTCTTAACTTAAACTACTGAAGATTCCAAGAAACTGAAAACAGCCCCTCAAGTAACTACTGCAGCTTTCAGGTGTAGTTCTTATTGACTGTCTGGTGGCTGCACTGTGATTCAGGCTATTTCATGACTGCGTATCTTTTTGTCTTTTCTCCTTCCAAGATGTAGATAAAGTACGTGCAAGTTCTTGTAGGGCTGACTGGGGTCCTTGGATGTATTGCAGTTCTTTTGCCAAATCACAGGTCTTACTTTACCTTTGATCTTAATGCATCCTGTTTTAATCAGTAACAGACTTTGAATGGTTTTGTAGGTAGGTGTTCATTCTGATTTCCCAAATCTGATTCAGAGAATAAAGTTGGCTTCATATTCTCTGCAGAGTGAATTTGAGTCCTAGATAAGATACAAGTACTTTAACCTTTCAAGTTGTAAAACAGGTTTCAGATCAGTTTAAAATGAAACACACCCATTTTATATCATATTTTCATATTCTAAATATGGAAGACTTTGAAGGTTGAAGTGCTCACCATTTAAGTCATTTTTTATTGGATAGTACTCTTACACTACTGAAGGTATTATTCATGTGGTAGTTACACAACTAAAAATGGAGATTAATCTTAACCACAAGGTTTCCAACACTGATATAAAACATTTATCTTGATTCCCACATATTACTATGAACTTTCCCAAGTTGATCATAATCCACAACTCAAGAGGATGTTTTCTTTTTCATTTTCAGATTTGATATTTGCAAGTTTTGTGCCTTGACAGTGATCACCATGGACAGTGGTAAGTTTAACTTGGTGATGAATGTGCATTTTGTATTGTTCCCCATGAAGGGGGTATTAGCATCCCCCAGAATTGTCCTCCTCTCAAAATCCTAGTCAGTTTGCACAAAACTCTTTGCTATGGAACTGACTTTAGTGTTACGTGTCATGCAGATCTTTGTCCACACTAAACTGAATTGGAGTTGTACTAATGTTCTGACATAGAATTATGATCTGCATGTAATATTTAAGTATGAGGAGAGTGGTGAAGTGCTGGCAGAGGCTGCCCAGAGAGATTGTGGATGCCCCGTCCCTGGAGGTGTTCAAGGCCAGGTTGGATGGGGCCCTGGGCAGCCTGGTCTTGTATTAAATGGGGAGGTTGGTGGCCCTGCATGTGGCAGGGGGGTTGGAGATTCATGATCCTTGAGATCCCTTCCAACCCTGGCCATTCTGTGATTCTTTGTAACCTGGCTGCAGAACAGAGACTACAGAACTGATTTCCAGCTTTGTGTCCTTCAGTTAGTGTTCCTAAGCTTGTTCGAGTAACTCTAGGATCTCACAGCAGAAATTGCTTTTCAAGCTTTACAAGTGAATGCTCAAAACATTTTTCTACTTTCTCCCCTGTGCAAATCAAATAGTTTTATTAAAATCACCAGCAGAAAGATTCACGTTTATCAGTAGCTTCAGTTTTCAATTTCAAGTGAAATGCTTATTTCTGCTATTCATCGCTTTAATATCCCTGAGTGCTGGTAAAGAGACAGAAAATGGGAGCATCAGCAGTGGTTTCAATAGAGTTGGCTTTGGTGACCATAATGCCATGGACTTTGCTTCTGCAGCATTTCTGCGTGTCACAATATTTTTCCCACAGCGATGCAGTCTGTTTTTCTTTCTCTACAGACCTGAGGCCAGTTTTCTTTGGTTGTGACATCTTCAGCTGGCGGGCTGAGATATACTTATCTTCACACACATCCTTGCCTGATTCTTCTTAGTTCTAGTTGCATTTCACCTTGCACAGGTTTTCCTGAGAATGCATTATAAATTGATCTGGCTGAATTACTCTCTCCAATAATATTGTCAAACTACGTTTTTTAATAGCTTTTAGATGCATAAAAACTTTGCTAAAAACCAAGTATTGTTTATATGCAGAGCACTACTTTGAGTAACATCAAAATCATTGTTTCAATTTTTTTCATCTTACATTTGTCAGTTGATCTTAAAATAAAAAATTAAGCTTAATTGTACTACTCTTATTCTCACTGTTATTTTTTCCTAATCATTTTCAGTTTCATATTAACAGCTGCAGTGAATTCAGCAACATCTTAGGTGGGCATCCAACCCAAGGAAGATTTTTACACACTCCTATGCAATTATAACTGAATGTGTCCATGATGACAGTCAGAGAATACTAAATCAGTGTGGTTTCTGCAATATGGTACCATTATCTTTCTTTATAGCATTCACCGGAAAGTGACAGATTCTTATTAAATCATTACATTTCTATCAGTACCTGCATCAAAATTGCATTGATCAGTGCATGTAATTTTTTCATTGCTGCTTTTTTATAGACTTCTCAATAAGCATTTAAAGTCATTATGTGTGTGCAGAACTTTATAAAGGTCAGATCAAAACAAGCAAATGGACAATGTTGTACTTCGTTATATCTAGTCTTACAAGGTCAAAAGCTGTTCCTGATCTGGTCTAATCTTATATGATTTTTTATCAAATAGATTCAGAGTTAATGTGTCTGGCTTAGCCTTCTCAGTGGATTTTTTTTGTTTTTGTATGCATTTTCTATACTGTATTGTGACAGAAGAGAGACACATCCTGAATTGGGGGGGAGGGGGGGAAAGAGTGTGTTTTATCTTTTAGAAAAGTATTTCAGAAATATTTAGCAAAATGTTGGTTATTCTTGAAAATTGAATTGTTTTAATGCTTTGCTGTTCTTCATCAATGTATTTTTCAGTACAAATATATACTTGTTTTTGGAAGCAAGATTTGTACATACTTTCTGAGAGCCAGTAGTTTCAAATCAGGATGTTTTCAGCTACCTGTATTTTCCTCTTTATTCCTTTTCTCTCTGCATTCAGTACGAAGCAGTTATAGTTTCTCTCCTCTCTTTTCAAGGATGAACTCTATCTATGAAATAAAATTTCCTAGGTTTTATCCCTTGAAGGAGGGCAAGTTTGATTTACAGTGTATTATCTACTCCTTGTGACAGCACTTAAGAGGGTCAGGTCTGTAGCTTGTCTTGCTTCAAGAATGCTCATAAGAAAGGTTGGTGAGAAGTAGGTTGAGGGCTGGCATTCCTGTACATGATTGCATGCTGGCTTCCTGGTGTCACCAAATCTTTCATCTCCCTGCTTTTAGGTGATTGCTGAGGCATGTGAAAACAAGCCAATTCTTCAGGCCTAGAGAGGAGCCGAGAGAATTGTGTGAGGAGACAGAAGCCATCCCTGTCCTTTTCTTTCTCTTTGGAGGATAATTTTGAGTATTAATTTGTTATTTAGACAGTAAACTTACACAGTAGGAAATGCCCATGTGCTCACCTTTGGTGCTATCAGAAACCAAAATTGCAAAAGAGACAGATGTAAATCTGTATGCACAGAGTATCTGGCAGCATTGTGAATAAGGTAATTTATACGGTGCATGAATACCATGTGTATTCAACTGAAAGTAGAGGAATGACTGATTATCTTGGAGTTTGATCTTCAAATACTTAATCCTTTGCAAAAGGAAGGTGATTGTCTAATGAATTTTAGCAAAGAGATTACAATGTACATACTGAATAAAATGAAATTAATGTGAAGTAGATAAACCTAATAGTGGTAGTATTTCCACTGCTGAAAAATGCTCCCACATCTAAGTTCAGTAAAGCAAAAGTGTATTGACCTATCTTTATAGACTTGCAGGCATCGTTTTTTTACTATTCAAATAAGAGGATTAGGGTAGAAATAGAAGACTGATTCATATCAAATCATAGATAAATCATTGTTTAAACCGTTTAGTCTCTCTCTTTCTGCAGACAGAGTTTTGTTGTCATAAGCTAATCAGAGGTCCCATATTAGCTGTAAATGAACCAGTGCAGAAATGGTAGCATTGACGAAGACCACAGTATGTTTATATGGCAGTGCATTGAATTGTTAGCCCCTATTGCTAGCAGTGAGAGCTCAAGAACAGTGTTGCATTGGTACGGTGTTCTTGCTTCCTGACCTAAAATACCTGAGGAATTTCTGTATTGTTCACTGCAGATGTACCTTCTGAGTAATTCAGCCTACTGGATTTTGAAGTGTTTGGGTTGTTACATGTTACTGTAAAAATAATTCAGTCGGGGAATTTAAGGGAAGAATAGAATCTTAGAAGAGCTGGAAATAATCTTCTACTTGAACAGAAAACTAAGGACAGCAAAAAAGAATACCTTTATCAGAACTTTGATTGTCATTCAGCGTTATTTTATTTCCTTCAGCAAGTTAGGTGGGGTTCTGTGTATTATGTAAGAAGATACAATGAGCCTACTTCCCCTACACCTCCAAAAGGTTGATGTTTTGTGGCTGACATTTCTGAAATAAAGGCAGAAAGTCTGCTTCAAAGTTGCTTAAGAAAACAGATGGAATTAAACTTTGATAAATGGTGCTGTTCTGATGTATACAACTGGTTAATATTCAGAAATATTTGTAGCATCAAAAGCTTTCTGAGTATTCTAGCTGTGTTGCCCTCAAGCAGTTGCAAATATCTCCTTGGATGTTCACAGACAGGTTTTGTTTGTTCTGTGTTGTCTTAATTTGAAAAATCATTTTCACTGAGCATGTGGCTGTCTCTTCTGGGTGCTGTTCTTAGGCAGAGGCTTCGGTCTTGTTTAAGCATATAGGAGCATGATGCTGAATAGGGATCCATCACATTTTTGATTTAGCAATAACTACTGAAGTTGTAGACCCAAATGTTCATAATAGCGAACAAAACAGAAAAGGCCTTTTATCCTATTACATAAAGGGGAAGACCTTGAAAAAGTGTTGCCCAAATGGACATTTTCTTTGAATAGTTTCACCATGAGGTTTTGGGTATGTTTTAGTAGTGACATTATTTTCTCTCCTTATTCAGTATTCTTAACAGAGGACAAAGCCAATTCTGTGTATAAAAGATACCGAAGAGCCAACAAATTTTTGGAAGAATTAAAGCAAGGTGATATAGAGCATGAATGCAGAGAAGAAATTTGTACCTATGAAGAAGCAAGAGAAGCATTTGAAAATGAGGAAAAGACGGTATGTTTTGTTGTCTATATATAGATGGGGTGCCTTGCTATTAATTTGTGAGATATGGTGAATACTTGTGTGTTTTCCTATATTACAATTTTTTTTTTACTTGATTCTTTAAGTAACTGAGGTCTGAAGTGGAGATGGATAGATCTCACAGCAATAAACTTGGAATCTTTTCTCCAAATTAAAAAAAAATTCAAAGGAAGGGAAGTCTCGAAGTAAACTTTGCTCATAAAAGTATTATGCAGATTGGCAGCTTGGGGAGTATCCACGTTCCTTTTCTTCCAACTGTCATTATCTGTTCTCTTTGGCAGCGCTACTTACCCAAATACCATGTGTCCTATCATCATGCACTTAATCCTAACCTACATATCACAGATGCTATTGTTTTTCTTGGTTGAAATGATAGAGTTGTGACTGTTACAGGGAACGCATAAGAGCAGAGGTCAGAAGTCTCTGTTTATCTCACACCTTAACTTATTTATTGAATAAATAAATAAAATGCTTAAAATGAGTGAGCAACTGAAAAATCATTCCACTTAAAATAGGGACTGTATCCCGGATGCTGGCCTAGCTGGCTAAAATGTTCTGTGGCCAGATTATTCATAGTCTTAAAAATAAACAAAGACAAATGGCCTTCTTGAAATTAACTTCTGCAGACCCTCACAACATATTGTTAAGCAGCAGCGATCTAGAACATCGGAAGAATAACAATTTTAATGCTGCCATATGTTATTCAAGGGCAGTGATATATTAACTTGACTGGAATGAAGCAGATACTGCCCACACAGAATTGTGTAAGTTTGTCACTTTCTGTAATTAAAAGAAGCTTGCAGGCCAGCAGCTCTGCATGTTGTAGCTGCACTGCACATTGTACCCAGCGTAACTTAAATTGCCTTCCAACAAATAACCACAGCATGTAAGTTTTGATAGTGTTGCCTGATGTATTTAATGCAGTAAAGTCAAGATATTTTTTTTTCTAATTCAATACAGACCTGAATGAAATTAGATTTATCCTCAAATTCAGTCCCAAAGTGGAAAAACAGCTGCTAGAGAATGTGACTTGGGAAATTGGCAGGCAAGGCTTGTGGGTTAATGGGCAAAGTGGCACAGAGAGAATTATGAATTTATTTTGGAATAACATGAGTGATGTGTCCCACTCTTCACTGGCCATGTTTTACATTGAAAACAACAGCAGAAAAGCCTACCAAACATTTTAAGTTTTTGACATCTTTTTTTTTGTGTCACACATAGGAAAGTGGAGAAGACAGAATGGAAACATTTTCATTTATTAAAATGAAGCAGTAGTGTGTGTAGTGTTTCAATTCCTGTTCTTTCAGAAGCTCTAAAATGCATGCGCAGTCATGTTTTTTACCTCCTAAAGTTGATATGGCAATTCCTGATGATATCACTGCGTAATTAAAAATAGTGTGCACAAAACTAACACTGTATCAGCCTAAATGATATAATAGCCTAAATATGTTGACTAGTGATAGGTCGAACTGATGACCCATGATAGGACCCAAAGAAGCAGCATGAAGTATGTCAGAGGAAGGTCAGGTTGGGTATTAGGAAAGGGTTCTTTACCAGGATGTTGGCTGAGCACTGGAACAGGTTCCCCAGGTCAGTGGTCATGACACCACACTGCCAGAATGTAAGAAGCATTTGGACAGCACTCTCAGTCACAGGGTTTGGAACTGGAATTGGGTTTGATGGTCCTTGTGGGTCACTTCCAATTCAGGAAATTCTATGGTACTGCATTTCTTCTTGCTTCAGTCTATTAAGTATTTAGAAACATTTTGTATTTCAGTAGATAGCCTTTCCATTGCAGAGTTATTTAAGAAAGAGTAAAGTAGAAATAGTCACATTTGCTATTATGCCATAACCTTATTGTCGCAGTGCAGAGAGAATTTCCAATAAGATCCTCTTCCATTATCCAGTCCTATTACTATATCTGTTTTAGTTTAGCTGCTTTGATGTCGGTAGCTTGCTAATGTGCAGCCATGCCTGACCAGCCTAATTTACTTAGTCTTCTGTTTTCCAGCTATATCTATCCTTACAGCCATTTAATAATAGTTGATTTCTGGGACAGAGGTGCTGTAGAGCAAGGTTATAATATAGTATGTTTGTAATAATGAAGATACAATGATTTTGTAGTATAGATAGACTGAAATTCAAAAAGATTACTGAGCTTATTTATCTCATGTTAACTTTGTGTTGTATAATTGCTTTTTTGTATTTTTTTAATCTTGTTCACTGGGTTCTTTGCTTCTCTGAAGTCTTCTGGGGAGGTGTACAACATCTGAGTTTGTAATATTAAAATAATATCAAACAGTCCCCTCAAGTTATATTTAATGTTTTCTTTTTTGATAGTTTTCTCAGAAGATAGTGTTGTGTACATTAAGCATACATACATACCTGTCAGGGAAATACTGAATGCCTTTCATATTGTGTAAGCTTGGGGATTTTGATATCTTCAGAAGTATAATGTAAAATGATACAGTTAATAATAAAGGTAAGACTCTCAGGATAGCAAAGGCTAGATGGCAGGAAAGAGTTTGCAGAACTTTGTGGCATTGAGTGGAAGAAATGAAATTCAGCATTGACAAATGTGATGTGCAGTAGGGGAAAAAGGATCATTCCTCATAAATATATGTATATATATAAAATACATGTATATGTTTGCCTCAGGAACAAGATCTGAATTTATAGATTTTCTGTGAAGGCTTGAATTTATAATGCTTAGCAGTTAAAAAGAAAGAAAAGTCTGTATGTTAAGAATCCTAGGAAGGGAACAGAGAACAAAATGGGAAATGTAACTACGCAATTGTTCGCTTGAATCTTGAATGTGTCATGTATAGCCCTTAAAAAGCAAATAAGTAGCTGAGGAAAATCCAGAGAAGCTAGGAAGCTAACTAAAGATATTGAAAGGTTTGTATAGCAATTATAGATTGAAAACTGTTAAATCAGGGAACATGTAGTGGGTGTCAGTAAGGAATATAAAGATTGAACAGAGGTGAATCATTTAACATCCTTCTGACAATGGAGCTCAAAAGGGTCTCAAAGGAAATAAGAAGGTGAAGGTTCAGAGCAGATAAAAGCATCTCTTCTCACCACAGGTAGTAGAGCTGTGTGACAGTTTGGCCACAGGAAAAAGCTTACGTAGCTTCAGAGAAGATGAAAACAACTGGGGACCATTGATTAAAAGGGGTCAGCTTTATCTAGTGGGAGTTCTTGAAGTACGAATACGTGAAAGCTGTGAGAGTATCACTCTCTACTTACATCTTTGCTCTTCTGACAGTCTGTGTTGTTTGTTGTCAGAAGATAATAAATTAGGTGACCCCTACTCGTCATCCTGTGAAGTTATGCATATGTAGAAGGTATAACCAGATAGCACTGTACACGATCACTAGGCAGTTGTCAAAGGTTATTGGGAGGCTCAAAGTTTTGCAGAAAGTGACTGTGCAAGATACCTGGGTGTGATGGAAGTTCACTTCTCATTTCTCATACATTAACTCTGGTTTTAAGGTGATGCAGCATCATTTAAAAAAAAAAAAAAAACCTCACACATTTTTTTATAAGTGTAAAAATGCTAAAATGCCTAGGAAGCAACTCAAAACTTGCCAGTACCAGCTCTAAAATGTTGTGATCAAATAAGATGTCAGTTTGTGTGTGTCTAATTATGAATGCTGGGTAAATATCTGGAAGAGGAGATGTAAATCTGAAACTGAGGGCAAACCAGAACAAGACAGCGTAACAAGTTTGCTCATTTTCCTTTATTGCTTTTTTTGTATCCTTTACCTACTGAACACCAAACAATCTTCTGATTGACATATTTTTAGTCCACCTAATAACAAGTTAGATGATTGACCGAAAGTCATTTGAGGCTGACAGTGCTGCCAAATATGGCAAAGGCCTCAGCCAAATTCTCAGTAGAGTACAAGACTCTTAACTTTGGTGTGGATCCAGTATTTGATTCAGTGTTCACATCCAGTTGACTGAAGTCAACTCTGTTCTAAATAGTGATAGTGAAATATTAGACATAAAGGGAAAAAGAATGTTGCAAATTGCCCATATTGATCTGTGTGTGATGCCTTTGAGAATTCTCTTGGTTTATTTCAAACTGGGTTTGCCAACATGCAGTAAAGTAGTTCATAGCAGGAATTTATACTAATTGATTTTAGGCCATTCTCATTGCAGTTATCTGATGCTGTGGCCTACTTAATGTAGTTTTTCAGCCTTTTAAGGCATATATAAGCCTTGCACTCCCAGCAGTGCAGTGCCTGAGGGTAAATGATTCTGGATTGTCCTTTTCATAAATCACAAGTTCTTAGTTTTGTCAAGTAAATGTCCTTTTTTGTTCTCCTGGTTTAAGAGACTGAATACTGTGGAAGGGATGTTTAAGTTTTCCAACTTTTAAATTACTCTTCAATATTCTGTGTGAGTTCTACAGTTATCTCCTGGAATTTCAGCATTTCCCTCCTTGCTTTTCCATAGCAGATCGTATGAACCCTCACTCTGTGCAAATTCATCAGAGTTCTCTGTGATTTTGTTTGGTGATGGACAGTACTTGATTTTGGTCAGGTGGTTTGTCCTCCTTGTGCCACCACTTTACAGAGCAGCATAGCTGTGGGGTGACAGAGCAGAGGGAGGAGCTGCTTGGCAGTGAGAAACTCAAACCTGAAGTGTAGGTTTCTTGCAGTTCTGGTAATTCTGGACTTAAGGGTCTTCATGGTTCACCTTGATACTAAACCTTGAGTTTAGTACACTAGCGAGCTCTTTTTCAAAGAGAAAATTTAAAGTATTTTTTCAGTGACTGTTTTTCTTCATATTTTTCATCTGTGTTAAGACCTTTATTCCTGTCTCTGAAATACGGCCACACACCTGAAGCACTGTAATTTTTGGCAGAGGAGTGCATGTCCATAGTCCCTTGGCATTTCATTTGCTTTGCTTGTAAATGAAAGTGGACGCTAAACTACTTTCATCCTTAAGGCAGTTTAAATTCTTACACTAAGCTCTTTATGCACCTGCCTAGTCACACCATTAACTTGACCACCCCCACAGCCATATAACCTATTGTGAACTAGCTGCCCTCCACCCTGGAAAAACAGCTTTTCTGCCACTTTGTCACCCTGCAGAGTAACAAGAAGCAGTGATGGTATTTTGGTTTCATGAAGAAGGTACAGAGATATTTTCTCAGGTAGATACTGTTGAGCTAAAAGTAACCTGGAAACATTAATAGAATACCAATTACAATTTACCACCCTTACATTAGAGAGGACACATTTCCTCTACAGTCTGAAACATAAAATGGATTGCGAGGTCAAAATTGACTTTTTTCTGAATTTTCATCTAAACCACCTTCACTCCTACAGAGTCTTTGAAATGATACATCCTTGCATAGTTTATTTGCTGACTTTCAGTAAATCTTTGCAGCTTTGGCCTTAGAAACAAATGCTATACCATTCCCTTGCTGCTGCTGAAATAGCAGAGCAGTGAAGTGAGAAGCTTGCTTCCAGTATAGAAAGCCACAGTTAATAATACTGACGAATCTTTTTTTGCTGCTTTAGTTGTGTGTTTATTATTTAGTTCTGTTCAAACCAGATGGAAAGACAATAGGTAACAGGTCTTCCTGGCTGTGTGTTGATTTGATGGGGAAAGGTAGGGAGTTTGGTTTTGTAGGACTCTTTTCCTATTATGAAGAGATCCCAAGTCCTCAGTTGCATAGTTCTGAGATCTGTTTGGTTATGTTGTCTGTGTGACACTGTTAGACTGTTATGTTTTCTGTGGTGAAGCACTGGAACAGGTTGCCCAAGGAGGTTGTGGATGCCGCATCCCTGGAGGCATTCAAGGCCAGGCTGGATGTGGCTCTGGGCAGCCTGGTCTGGTGATTGGTGACCCTGCACATAACAGAGGGGTTGAAACTAGATGATCACTGTGGTCCTTTTCAACCCAGGCCATTCTATAATCCTGTGATTCTGTATGATTCTAATGCTGTTCATGTGCTGGTAGTCATAGAATGTAGTCCTGAACCTAAAAGAAAAAAAAAAATATATAGATCTGATCTGTCTGTGCACAAAGTCTACAACCTGAGTGTATCATTGACTAGTTGAGAAATGGTTGTCATTTTTCCTGGTGAGAATTTTTAAAATACATTCTTGCAAGATGTTGTTACTTGAAGTGAGCGCTTGCATAAATCTGAAGAGGTCACATATCTGCATTTTTAAAGGAGGCTGCAGAGTTCAGAGTTTCTGGCATGGGTTTTGTTTGGCTTATTTTTTTCTTTATACATTGCTATAAAACACTGTGGAAGTGTTTCTTGGTAGGAGAGAGCCTACAGTACAGATGAGGTAGGTTATACTTTAATTCGTACTAGTTTTGCACAGCGTTCACTGAGAGCAAATCGGAAGGTGATGTGATTTGTGCTCCTGCTTGTGCATGTTAGTAATGTAGCAAATTACTTTCAAGTACTAGTCCTCCTTCATATGTTTTTCCCTTTTCGTTTTCACTTTTCACTGTTCCGTTTATCTATAGCTGTGTTGCCAAAGTTTCTAGAGTATAATAAGCTGTGTAATATTCTCATGCTGCTGAATCTGTATTTACCTATAAACAGAGGATTTGAAGCAGCTTAGAATAGACTGACAATTGCTTTATGAGCCAGGGATGGAGGAATTCTGAATTATGAACTGACAGTACAATGTAGTTCTGCTTTGCTAAGATGGTTTGTCATTCCAAAGCAGTGTGTCGCAGTCAGATTGTATTATTGTACTATAGTTTAAAAAAAAAAAAGTAATAATTTTGAGCTTGAGTGGTACTGAAAAACTTAGATCCACTACATGGCTGATGTGCATGCTGATTAGATTTTTTTATTCCTGTCTGTGCTGCAGATTTTTAGATATTAAAGTGCCAATACAGGATTATTACAAGTAGAACAAGGAGTTGGTGTTTAAAAAAAAAAGTCTTTTGGTTCTCTAATCACATCAGAAGAAAATTTATTGTATGTGCTTATTCATATCAGTTTTCATATTGGTCATCTGGCATTTGAAATGCCATTTTTTCCTCATTCATTTAAAACAGTTTGAATAAAGTCTTTGGTTTGGTCTTTTTGTTTTTAATGTCTTGTCATTTCTGACTTATCCTGTCTTGCTCTTCTAGAAGGAGTTCTGGAAAGTCTACAAAAATGGACTTCAGGGAGAAAGTAACACAGGACATAGCTGGTATTCATTTTACCTCGCATTTCCTTTAATCATTGGCCTTTTTGTTATCCTCATTGTCATCTTTGTCATATGGAGATGCCTGTTTAAAAAGAAAACGCGTAGACAGTCGGTGTACGCACACAGGGGAGCCCACGAAGCAATAGGTGATGGTGCTGTGTCTGATGGCAGAGGTTCGCTCCCGCAGCCTCTCAGCATTGTTCATTCCCCACAGGAGGAAATGTTTGAAGTCAGTGGGCTCTCTCCAGGAGGTCTGAGCTATGCGGATACACGATCAGACTCAATATCCACAAGGCTGTCAAACTGTGATCCTCCTCCTTCATACGAGGAAGCCACTGGTGAAATCAATGTGAGAAGAAATGAAGCTGAACAACATTTAGATCCACCCCCACAATATGAAGACATTATGAATTCTAGTTCAGCCAATGCAATTGCACTATCTCCTATTACCACCAGTACTAAGTAAAACAGGAAGAATGCTTCTGGACTTCAAGAAAAAACAAACAAACACAAAAACTAATCGTTTTGTTGCACTTTATCTTGGCTTATTACGCATTTCTGTAATTTAAGCAACCTGTAAAATGAACTTCCCTTTTGTTTTAGATTCACTTGTTCTTTGAGTCACAGATTTTTCTTTTCCCCTATGACGGTCCTTAGAAGATAAGGAATCTATATTGTGATCTTAGTCCAGGTACAGAGATGGTGCTCTGTCATTATTCTCGGAAGTATCTCTGCTCTATGGGATGTCGTTTGTTTTATTCCATATGCTGACCACATTCCCCACAAGATCTGTGGAATCCCCTTCTCTTCTTGCTGCAGACTCTTGGAATTGCCTGAGGTGGGGAATCCTTAAGAAACATTCTAGAAACTTAGTTACACTAAAACAAACTAATTTTGCAGTATTTCCTCTTGCCTGGTTGGTTCCTTTTTCTCACCTGAAATTTTATTACATGCCACGTTGCATCTTGGGCCCTGGAATGGCTAAGAGCCATATGCCTTGGTGTTCCAACCAATATATTGTTAGACTCTGCTGGCTTCATAGCAATAAATTCAGAGCCCTAGCAAAGGAGAGAGATTCTAAAGCTTTTTCTATTAGAATTTATGTTTAGAAGCTAGTAATTCAAGAAGTAATTAGTGAATTTGAGTACTTTTTTTGTTTGTTCTGCTTTTCTTCTGTTTTCTATCTGTCTTTATTTGTCTATTCTAGGGCTGTGCGCTACTTTCATAGCTTGAAAGTTCACTCAACATTAAAGAATGAAATACTGAAGAATGAATAAGATCCTTCTTGTTTGGAATTAGATACCAAAACTACCATAGTCTTCACTGGGACCAGGATTTCATCCATTATCCATAAACACTTAAAGCCAAAGATACTGCTTTCCCTTTTAAAAGGGAGGGGAAAAAAAAAGTATTCAGTATACAACTTTTTTCCACAATAATATGACCCCATTCTCAAATCCTGATATTATTTTGCTTCTTGCATACTTAAATGTATCACCTGCACACCTTTTGTTACTGACTATGGAAATGCTTTGCAGAAAATTTTGGTAACTTTCTTCAACTGGTGTATTTATTGCTGATTTCACATTTGTTCATTCAAGTAAGAGGAGCTGGAAAGCATGGATAATCTAGGCTAACTCCACAGATGTTTTGGCCAGTGTAGCTCTGCTATCTCCAGGTGAGAGCTGCACAGTCTACCTGATGTAGGGCAAAACCATGAGGAACCCCTGTGGTGTTGTATTTCTAGCAACACAACACAGACATAACCCCAAGCTTTAGTTTGGAATGTTTTTTTTTTTTTGAAGCTGTAGGGATGTAAATTTCTGTCAGATTTGACACAAGTTAATTGAAATTCTATACAAGCCTCTGTTTCAATGCTTTAGACACCGATGATAGTTTAGCTGGTGCACGCTGTGGTTTGCTGATTTACTTTTCTGTGTTTAATTTAAGAATTCATTGATCAGTTTAGCTTGTGAATATTTATTTTGATTTTTCTTCTCACGTCAGGGTGGCATGGCATTAATTTTAGTGTTGTTCTGTTTTCTACTAATGAATTAGCACCAACTGAAACGGATTTAGCTCTGAAGGACTACTATGAAATACCAGTGCCATCCATTTGAAATTGCTGTTAATGTGCTCAGTTAATTGCCTGTTGGCATTTATGATCTTGTGTGTCTGACCCATCTTTCTCCTAAGGAACTTTGTAGAAGATTGCTAAAAAGAAATGGATGAATATATGGGTGTGCATATGCACATTTCTGTAAGAATTTGATATGGTAGTTTGACAAATGAAGTTATGATCCTATGATTAATTTTATATTCTCATTTTTGGCAGAGAGTAGGTTACCTAAGATCTCTATTGGGGATCTTCAGTTGCTAAAGCAAATTTATTGGAGTTAATGGATGGAGCTCCAGGCCAAACTGTTGTCAGAAAGATAACTCATATATTCATTATTCATAATGGATATCGAGCAGATAAGTACAATATATTTTGGACTCTCTAACCTTTTGAAGTGCTTTTAGCTCTTAGATGAAGTCCTAAATTGCCACTTGTAGAAATTTAAGCTCTTTTATACTGAGCAACAGTTATACTGCCTTTGGCCAGACATTACCAAAACAAAGTGCCTCGTCTCAGTTGCAGGAGACACCTGAAAATGCTGGTATTAATGTCTATGCCATATTGGCATCTCCTGTGCCTGCCAGCACAGCTGGCAGTTTTAGCAGTGATTTTTTAGTTTGGAGATATGGTTTTCCTGTAGGAAATGCCTGGAATAACCCATTTCACATTAGGTCAGCAGCTGTCAACCCCTGAGCAGGGGCAGTCTGGTTTAGAGGTGAGCCACCTTTTTTTCCCCACTTTGTGGGTCTGTATTCCATTACCGACAACTTTCACATTTCTGTCTCTGAAGAAGAGTCTGTTACTGCATTCTGTAGACACTTCTTTGTGCAATGCAAACATGATAGTTGTCTTTCCAGGAAAAGCCACAACCAAATATCTGAAATTATCTGTGACTAGAATTTATTGGGCCATTTATTGGGCTTTTTTCTGCATCCATGCACATGAAATGGATGCATGTGAAGGCTATCTAGGGCTATAAATTTACATCTTGGTGTGAATAAGCTTTCATAAATAAACTAAATTTGCACGTGCCAGTTATCTGAATGTTTCCACTGAGACATGAGCAGCTTTCTTCTTGTTGGAGTAATGTCAAAGTACCTAATACTTTGTTTTACTTTGTGAAATGTGGGGAAGTAACTTAAGTCCTGGGGATAGCTGTTCTGATCTGGGGAAAGAATAACATTTCTTTTTGTAGTGGGTTTTCCTACAGCTTTGTTTTCCCGGGCACTTACTGATTCTTCTCTTGTTGTTGCATTATCATGCCATAGACATTATAAATTTATAGTTGTATCTCTGTAAAGGCTTTCCAAGTCTGAATGCAGTCCTGCCTTGACTAATGACGTGAATAGTCAGGATTCTGCTTTTCCCACTTTTGAATGTAACACTGAATTTCATGTATTAGGACTAAGATGATTTACCCACTAAAACAAACCTGTATTTAAATGCCACTTTGAGAAATTATGGAAATTAATTGTGCTTAGATGATGTTTAGCATTAGTGGAGGTTGTTCTGTCTTCACTGGGTGTAAATAACCTTTGATTACAGTATTGCGTATTTTGAAGGGGTTTGGTTTACATTAAATTATCGTATTTAAACATTCTTGACTATGTTTATAAAAAAGAAAAAGTTTTGTAACATTTGTTTTTGGATATGCTAAATAAAAATTTTTAAATGCCTGTAGTGCTTCAAAACATCAATCCTACAGATCTGCAGTATTAACTTTGTGCATTTAAGTGGTGCTCTTTCAATTTCTCTTGATCGTCAAATGTACTTAATCAGTTGCAGGGAATCAGTTGTTTTATTTTGATAATTAAAAATAAATATAATTTTAAGGTAGATGTTCTTTCACGATTCAGTCTCATTTTCTTATTAAATTTGTAAATTGATTCATTTGTAGCCATAGTTAAGTAGCAGTCACAAGCACAGGGAAAGCAGGAATTATGCTCTATTACAACCAAATGAAATGGTACACTGTAGAAAGATTTGTAGTCAAGAGAATTTGATTTCAAAGTTGGCTTCAGCCATTTCAAACTATTTTGCATCGTTTCTGTGATTCACTCCACATTGCATCAGTGATGATTTAATAGCAATTTAAAAGGTTTTGTTTTTTTTTTTTTTTAGTGGTACATGCTGGAAACTAAAGATTTCCATTCCAATCTTCCTTACTTGCTCAACTGCTGATAAATATGTCCCTGGTATTTTTCACTAGCTTACTACTAGTGGAATCTGTTGCAGAGCTTAGTGAAGTGTTACTGAAGACATGTCATGAATGTGTGCAATTCCACACTGGTCATAAAAAAAAAAAGGTGCAAAAAAAAATCACAAAAGTGCGAGGGGAAAACCAACAGTCTGTGTGCATTTCCAAGCTGTTGTGTGCATACTGCAGCACTTTTTTCCTTGGTAAGCTTTTATTTGCAGAGCTCAGAACTTTTCAGAGGAACAGAACACACTGTTTTCGGATAAGTGGCCTTTGCTGTGCATGTTCATGTTCAGGATTCTGACCGTGCATCTGTCAGCATTGGCTAACGTGTTTGCACGTGGTTCAGCACATGATTGCCTCTGCATGCCTGACTTCCAGCTATTGAAATGTAGAGGGTACAGTGTTTAACTGGTGTCATGAATCTTGGTGTCTATAGAAATCAAATCACCCCTCCAGGTTACTTGGTGATGAATGTTCATTATTTATTGTTTTATATGCCTAGGGCACTGTTCTCTGTTGTTCTAAATTACACTGATAGATTCTTTTTATCTCTGTATAATGTGAACCTTGTAAATATTTCCTGGTGCTGCCTACTGGTGTTTTGAAGAGAAGCCACGTTAGCTGAAAACGGGGAAGGTAACATCTGCACTATTTCATTGTTTGCTGCACACAGGTTTGATTAATTTGCTGCAGGGTAATTGAACTTTGAGCTTTGCCAAAAAGTTGAACTATGCTTTTCCTCCTGCAGCAGGAGCTCAATAATTGTATTTTTGACTTGGCAGTGGGCTATTGAATGCTAGCTAACAAGTTGGTGCAAGAATGCCTTGCATGTATTTTCTTGATTATATTACAGTATGTGACATTTATTTACCATTTAACACTAGGCAGTGTTTGCTGTAATGTTAGTATTTGTTCTCTTTCTCTATCCTGTTTCAGTATGTTGTGCTACAGTTGTAAGCATACTGACTGCGGTTTTTCCCTGTCCTAAAAGCAACAAAACTAAGAATCAAAACTTGTAGCGTGACCTACTGTTTTGTTTTCCAGGTGAAAGCTTTGCACATACTTGTGTGGTTCTTTGACCCGATTGAGCAGCTTAAGCAAAAATGGAAACAAGCACTCAAATGCCACTAATGAAATCTCTGCATGAGGAGTAATCTGTACCAAGCTGTCTCCCTGACCTTTCAGTG